CACATACTATAGCCGATTGGGCCCTGAATGTAAACAGGAAATGCAGCATAATGCATATGTAACTCCACATACCGAGCATCGTCTTGGGGACTGGCACATGGTCAACTGGGCTAATTTTGCATCATCATTGTGAAAAGTGGCATTACGTTATGTAGCAACCTGCTACATGTGTGTACCTAATTTCTTCGAAACCATTTAAATGTTCAAATTCTGAACCTTGGTCAGACCAGTGGCCGGTAAATTCAGCAGTTGTTAAATTGTTATGCATTTTGCAATTAAAACCATATCACGATGGGAAATTAGCATGCTGTTTTTGTTCAAATAGCCAGATTTGAATCAACACAACTTCAAATAATAGTGCATCTGTCTGGATGCTAACAGTGGAAATACGACAGTATTGAATGTTTTACGTTTTTCGGCCTTTCATAACAAATTGGTGGTTCTATAGGTTATCTGAAGACAGAAGCAGGTCATTAGTTGGAGCAATTTTGTCAAGAGGTGTAGCTGCAACATTTTCGACAATATCATCTTTGTCCAAAATTCTGTGGCGGAGTGAACCATCACCGACTAAGAAGTCACGGCCAAAGCCTCAAGCCTTTGCAAAAAGTAATGGAATAAATAGTTAAGTTTTAATTATCTTTCAAGATCATTGAGTATGTGTCCCTCATAATTGCATATTCTGCAGCATCACCTCTCACATGCTTGAAAGACTCACCAAGGAAGGGAGAACGACTTACACTCTCCCCAAGTGGTACATTGGCTGCAATAACTGATTCTCTTGGACGAATACTACTGCTGGACACTCGTGCCCTTGTGGCTGTGCGGTTATGGAAGGTAAAACCCTTGAGTTATAAATTAATTTTCTTAAGGGAAAATGAAATAAAAATCTACAAAAGGTACCTTCCAAAAAAATTGTTTGGTCTCCATCTAAACCTTGTTACCCTCTTCTAGATATAATTCGTTATATCAGACTTAGGCATAAAACAAACTCCATAAATCATGGCATTTCCATTTCCCTTCCAAAAGTGAGCTAATGAACCAGGTAAAACATTGTCATGACCTAAGGGCCTGTTCGGTATCACTCCACTCCGCGGCTCCGCTCTGGGAGCGGACGGAGCTGTAGCTCAAAAACTTGGAGCGAGCAAACAGCCACTCCACAGATTCTCGGAGCCAGCGGATTACCGAACAGGGCCTAAGTCTAACATTTCATGTTCCTATCTTTTAGAGTTGACAGTTATACTCTGATCCTACGCCTGCAAGGTGTATTTGGATTCTCCGTGCACCTTCCTGCCAAGTTAAGGTTCCAAATGAACATTTTGGGAGATGTTGGACTAATCTGCGCCCACCTGCCTAGTTGATGTACCTCGGTGCCGGCCAAAGAATGATGGCTGAGAAGACCCAGTGGTCATTTTGCAAAACAAGGCAGCCAATAGATAGGCAAATGGCTCCTGCACACTGGGTTAGCCTACACCCCCATGCATTCCACGTCAGTGCACCACATTGCCAGAATACAACTCACATATTGGATGTAATAACATCTTATATTATGGGACAGAGGGGGTATGATATAGCAGATATGTAGAAATGTTGCAGCTAATTAGTAAAAGAGTTAGTTAACCTGAACATATCATGTCTTCAAGGTCCTGAACTTGCAATGGCCAAATTGCATATGTGAATCAATACAAGGAAAATTACGAAGTTAAGTATTGATCTGAGACTCTAATTTGTTACATCCCTCTGCCCAGAGAATAGACATATGGTGCTATGTCTATATATGTGTAATTTAGTAATTATAACCACGCGTGTTTGTTCATATTTGGCTCAATTTGGAGACCCATATTGCTTGCAAGCAGAAAGAAAATTCATGTCTGACTGGAATAGGAGTATGGTATCTGACCATTCATATGTCTACATCTGTTGTATTGCACTGCGAAGGAATAACCCATGTCCCTTGCGTCCTCGTAGTGCAGTATGGGTGTCCTTCATGCTACTCGAGATTGACATGTTATGTGTCAACCTTTCAGGGTTATCGTGATGCTTCTTGTCTTTTTGTGGAGATGCTTCGTAACAAAGACAAGGCGTCATCAAGCTCAATGCACTTGGATTATACAAAGAGTGACTATTGCTTGTGCCTAGCAATCCATGCCCCACGGAAAGGCATAATTGAGGTAATTTGTTGCTTAATATGTTCAGGTTTTTTCTTGATCATCTTACAATTCAATGCTAATTTAACATTCCGGAGGATGGAGATGATCTGGAAACTGACATGTTTTACAGAATGTGTGAATTCGTCCGGCAACTCTGTGTGATATTGTGTTCTTCCATGTATGTCATCAGGTTTGGCAGATGCGGACTGGGCAACGTCTCCTAACCATCCCATGCCGCAAGGGAAGCAGGATTTTGCAGCCGTCGACGAGGTTCTCATCGTCGGCGTTCTCATCGTATACGCCGTTGGAGGTTTACTTGTTCAATGGAGACTCCGGGCAGTTGTCTGTTTTGAATAGGCATATTGGATGAGAGCTCCACTGCTGTTTCTTGCTTTACATTATACTCCTATAGATAGAAGAATTATTACCGGGGTTGTACAGGGTATATTATTACTGTGTTTGTTGATGGCCAGGTGATTATGGTTGTGCCGATGATTCTTTTCCCCACCCACCAAAATGAGAGCAGGTTTTGTGTGACTTCATCCACATTAATGAATAAGTAAAGTTGGTCATGTGATCGTGTACAATAGGAAAGGTGGCACTTATCTCTTCTACTTATACCCTGTGGAGTAGAGTACTACATGCTCCATTTATCATTATAACTTGTGCACTACATACTCTATTTATTAAGAGATGGGTGCAGACTCTAGTAACATAATGCTGCCTTTTGTAGTGTATTTGATGGCACTCCTAGATACAGCACATAAACTTTCACCTTCCATTCTGATCATTACCCTACTGGTATTAGGGGTAATGCTGGACCAATGCAGGATATTTTACAGGTTTAAGCTAACGTGAATGTTTAGGATTGGACATAGGAGCCAGGGAGGGCCTCACCCCTGCTGAAATTCAGAGGGGGGGTAGCACTTACCAGGGGATGTTGGTGAAACGCCTGTAGTGTTTGGATGTCTGTATTGAGCCTTCGAATTGGATTTTGTATTGCCTGGCTGCCAATTCAGCTGTTTGGATGGCGCACTGAAACGACTGAAATCTTGTTGCACATCTTCAGTTAGATAGGTGTTGTTTTTGTTCAGTTTCGTCAGATAATAAGTATGCATGCATCGTGAGCCTGTATGAGAAAAAGGAGAGTGAGGTTATCTAGCTGCAAGGGCAGGTCAGGCTGAAGCTGAGTGTGCGTCTATTCTTCAGAAATCCTGTCAGGCAGCAATAAATCGAAATGTTATCTAGGTACTACCATTGCTGAAAGTCCCAAGCCTGAAAGTATGGTGGTGAAGCTTTTTCTCTGAGGGAAACTATGTGTTATTGTTGACAATTCGGACTTAATTATTTGAACTATTGCCGAACACAGCCATAGTCACACATTGTACAAACTGTGATTTGATGCATATAGAACAAAGTACTATGCAATTCCATAGTTTGCCATCCAAACGTGATTTGGTATTGAAACCTCACTGAGGTTCCATGAGCCAATTCTACGAGCATCCAAACAAGCAAATTGGTATTCATATTCATTACAGTTTCCTTACTGATTAGGAATTGAAACCAATACAATATCCAAACACAGCATTAGGATTATCATGGTACTATTACAGATGTCCTAATCCGAGCCTGCCTCGCCGTTTCTTTTCTCTATCCTTGTTGGAGCTTTGGGCGGCAACATATATTGGCTAGAATAGATCCATGCTTGTTAGGAGTACCAACGACGTCACTTTTCACGCCTCATTGACTTCATCCACCCCGATAACTTATCCTTTGCCTGCTGATATGATAAGCCACGCGGCGTCTGAAGAACTGAAGCAATGCCACCCCAAATTATTGGTGCTAATGAAATGGGGCCAATTGCAGAACCATTTGAACATTCAACTACGTACTACTAGTATTATTCCTCGCAAAAAAAAAACCACGTACTATTATTGGTGCTAGTGGCGGTGATTCAGCAGCCAGTGCATTTGGCAGCCTAGGAGTGCCTGATGACGCAGCACTTACAAAGGAGGACGACAGGAGCATCACCTTTCGGCGTGCATGGTTTCTTCTGAAGGATCACACAAGAGGCAAGCAACAGGGAGATGAAATCATGGCCGGATATGCTTGGCATATTCTCTCCCGGGTACAATTATTGCATTGCTTGCGCCAGAAGCTTAAGTACATCGTCCTTTGTGGGCTCGCTGTCGGTCTTACTATGATACTTGGCTCTTGGTATAAAGCGCGATTGGACGGCTAGCAAACTCTAATCGCCGTGGTTAGCTTCATTTTACTGTCTCTTAATTCGTTGACCGACTTAAGAGCAGCTTTAGCTTTAGCCGAGTCGTCATATTCACAGCCTTCATAATATGTGTGCAGCGTGTTTCATAATGTTTGGCGACTCCGCGCAAAACATATAATCGTCATAGCGGTCTATAGAACGTTCCTCCATGCGGGACCCGTTTGTCACTGCCTTGGCAGGATCTATTTCTTCCTTGTCTCATCGAACAACAGTTGAAGCTCCAAACTTAATTTCAATGTCGATTTCTAGTACGAGTTCAACTACAATATCTAGTACGGTTTCAACGGTAATTTTTTTTTCGCGAATACGCAAAGCTTGGGTAACTTTTTATTGATAGATAGAAGGAGAATGAGTATAACCGAGGATACACCATATGACATGAACGCAAGGAGGCATGCACATGGTACCCGGAGCAGAGAGAAGGGGTGCTCAACCCGAAGAGGGAGAAACACACAGCTAAACCCACCGAGCCTAAAACTAGAGTAGCAGACCAAAAGAGCACAACATCGAACATCTTCAATTCCAACACTGGGGACTCCACGAGCGAGCAAGATAGCGCCTTCAAGAAGGGGAACGACTTCGTGACGCCGTCGCCATCCGATCCGAAAAGCCGGACCTAGGGTTTCCCCTGATGCTCGAAGAGGGGCTCGGATCAAAGTCATGACAGCGCCTCCAGGAAGGGAAACGACATCCACGGGTGTCGCCGCTGCCAGCATCGAGCATGGCTTTCGCCTGGCCTTGAGTCCGAGCAATCTCATATCCACCAGATCAGAACCCGAAGATGCAAGAGTAAACATGCCTGTCGACCGCTACCTCAGAAGGAGGGTGGGGCTGCACCTGCCATCGGCAAAAATGCGAGCTTTGCAACCGGTGGCGTGTAGGTTTCAACCGTAAAATAAATACCAAACTAATCTATAGAACGATTCGAAGCTTCGAATACATATATTTCTTCTCTATCTAGTTCGGGCTCTTCCTTTTGTTTAGAAGTGACCTCGCAGGCGGGGGTTGTTTGAGCGGTTTCCACTTTTATCGTCACACGCTCTACGAACTTCTGGGCACCCTCGATGCACCTCTACGCGGCGACTTTGAAGCGGTGCGTCAGCGCGGTGTTCATTTTTGTGGAAGTCGTGTCCATTATGCAGGCAAGGTAGCGGTGGGTGGCGGGGAGGCAGTGCGTCCCAACTGGCTGATTCAGCCTTACAGAGCGCGTCCTCCTCCCAGAACACCCTCTTGACGCGGTCCTCTTCGGTCTCACGGGGGAAACTCCGCGTGGGGGAGGGGGAGGTCTTGACCTACATTTGAGAAGGAGGATGTCGCGCCCATGGCGACATGGCTGATGGGGCGAGTCTGGTGGCAAGGGGAAAGATGAGGGCTAAAGTGGTGGCGGCGAAGGGAAAGTTTGGTCCTTGCTAGCAAACGGTAAAGATGGATGAGCAGTGGCGCTAACGAGCGAGGGTGGGCTGGTTTATATATCCACGAATGGGTGCGCTTGTCGAGAGACGGGGGCGTAATTGGCACGCGCGTGTGTGAAATGTTGCGGCGATCATTAATGTGCACTCTTCCATATGGAAACATGGATGTGCCATTGGAAGAAGTGGAAGCGACATGCTACCGATGGTTGTGCCATTGGCAGGACTGGGCATCGGAGAAGATAATGGGCTGAGACTTCCCTCCAACACGATCAGTTGTGTTTGGAGCTGCTCCATACCACTCCCTCCCAGCCTCCAAATTTGTCGTCTTGCGGGCTTGATTTGGAGCGACCTCCAAAAATTATGTAGGCCTAGGCCGTTATGATGACTGCTAGACTTGTTTTTCAAGCCCTGATCGCCATACTAGCGATCATTATGGCAATCCAGGTCCTATGGTGACCCTGTTAGAGTTGCTCTACCAGAGAAGCGAGAACCTAGACTCTGTTGTGCATACCAGCATACAAGTGCGAAGGGCATCTGCAATGTAGATCCCTATTTCAGCCTCAAATTTCTGAACTAGACGGTCCAAAAACTTTTAGGCCTCAAAGCAGACCCGAACTTTGGGCCGGACATGTCTGAAATCCCCTGGGCCAACCCCCAAATCGAGGGAAAAGTAGGAGAGACCGGATATTTTTCATGTGGGGCCCAACAGTTTGGACCGACCCAACCCCCTCCCCGACTCCTTCATTTTTTCACACTCTACCCTCTCTCCCAACCTTAACACCGCCGCCAAATCATCCTTGGCCGCCGCTGCAACGCCACCACTACAGGCCACCACGATGGATCTCTCCGGTTCAATGGACCCGACCATCAGCATCTTCGAGGTGTCGACAATGTATGTCGCCTCCGTGCCGCTTCTGGAGTCTGTCAAATGCAAAGAGCGGTGCACGAAGGAGAAGGCGTGACACGTTGGTGCGTCGGCCTGAGTGTGTGCTCCTCCTACATGTACCGTTGTCGTGTTGGTGGCGCCTAGACACACACCACCGCCATCAACCGCACGAATTTCTCTCGTACACCCGCCCGCCCGGCTGTCTACTAGCAAGAGATTTTTGGCCGACAACCTCTGGATGGCCAACGCCTGCACGATTGCCAACAGACATGTCTACGTGTTCGCAGAGAAATGGAGGCGTTCATTTGATGTTTTCCATTAAAGATGCTCTAATGGGAGGCAAACACAGTAGAGTTATAATACACCAAAAATAGCGAAAGTATGTAAAAAGGATAATAAATGAATTCCTATGTTTTTGAAACAATTTATGGATCAAGTCCCACTCGATTGCACGCGCACCTACAAAAATATAACCAAAAGAATACGACAATCTATATCCTCTGTACAAAGTTGTGCAAGGGCATCTCGAAGGCGGACCCGCAAACCGCTGAATCCGTTCGGATCGCGTGATTCGAACTGTGGAAGCCATCCAACGCCGACTTACATCAGTTCACAGAATGGTCCGGACGCGATTTCCTTCGCAAAACGGAGACAAACGTGAGGGCTTTTGCGGGAGTATGAACCGATCCACGTCCGCTTCTGACCATCCTGGCCCACCCAACCCCCCGGTATCCGCGCACGTCCCTGCCCCGTGCCAGCAGCCCGCATTCATGCCGCTACAGAGCGGC